TGGGCCCCTGGAGGCCCACCACGAGTCCCGTTTTGATAATCTGAACCGTTCAATGTGTAGAATTCGTCAAGTATTATATGTTTATAAAAAATCACGTTGATCGGATATCGATAGCTATGTGATTAAAGTAGATTTTTGTCAACCGTTAATTTATTTACCGTCCATTTTTTTTTTATACAAAACTGATTTGATCACATAGCTATCGATATCCGATTAACGTGATTTTGTATAAACATATAGTACTTGACGAGTTCTACATACTGAATGATTCAGATTATCAAAACGGGACCCGTGGTGGGCCCCCACGGGCCCAATAGCACGGTCCAGTCCGATTAAGGACTGGACAGAAGCCATGCCCTTTTTTTATTGGCTCTCATCTTCTTCATTTTTTTTTAAATTTTTTTTAATATCAAATTTATTATACCATCTCATGTGTTCCTTACACTCATTAATGTAAATTTTACATAAACTCCATTAATACCTAATGGTTGTCAATGTGCCACCAAATATCATATAAAAAGTAATAAATATATCAATTCTATAAAGATTGGAAAAAAACAAGCCGACCTATAAGTCAAATTTAACTCTTTGATAACAATAGCAACCATTTTAGTTGTGGCAATAATGGCAGAGGAAGCTACATTACAGTGAAAAATGGGGTATTTTACCAACAATCAGTGAGGAGTTTTTGTAAATTACTAGCAGTGAAAGAGTAAAAAAAAATCACCAAAGCATGAACTGTTTTAGGCACAAATACAAAATTGCCCTCATTTCTTTCAATTCTTTTTGAAAATAGCCCTAGTCACTCCTTAAATCTTTTTTTGTCACCGCCTCTATTTCCTTTGCCATCTCTCACCATCCTCACCACTACTCCCCCTACAAAATTTGGGTGGTAACGGTGATGCTTATACCCTATTTGGCATGACCAATGAAAGGCCATCTTGTGACATTAATTATGGTTAAGAAGAAACAAATAAAGGTTAATTTGTAGAGTTCCAAACCTTATCCATTTGCGGCAAAGAATGAGAGGAATTGGTCTTAGGTAGCGGATATCAACTCTTGATTTATAGGATGCGATTAGTAATCATGTCCCCATATATGTAACTATGTGACAATGATAAACATGAGAAAAATGTCCTAGTTCAAGGACTTGGCACGTGTCTAAGGCCTTGTTTATCATAACTTTAAAAAGTTAAAAAGTTACTATCCTATTTAAATCACATCATCTTATTTAAGTTACATCACCTCTCTACTATATCACTTCAAATTCAACTCATATTTGATAAAAAATCAAAAAATACATTTATTTAGATCATCCCAAACCATTCCTTAGGACTGGTCGGAAGAAAAGGTTCATACACCCACCTAGCAAGATTGCTTTTTCAAATTCCTAAAACCTAGCTAGGAGGTTACAATGTGGTGGCTTAATGGCGGTTGAAAAGATGGTTGCAAGATGCAATACAACAATTTAGGAGGATCTCCATCTAAACATACGGTAAATGGGGAGTTATTGGGAGCGTCTGGCAATAGGCTTTTTGATTTTTTGAACTAAAATATTATTAAAAGACAAAGAAGGTAAAATAGTTAATAAGATAAAATATCACATCAAATCCATAATTATTTTACTTTTTCTCTTATAAACATCACATCCAATTACAATATATATATATATATATATATAATCTTCTTCCCAAACACAATTATTTTAACCTATTAAAATAGTCAACTTCCCAAACATTATCATTAAATGAAAAACATGCGCCACATGACAAGAACTCATAAGAACAAAGCAAATCATGTAGGGACGAATTAAGTAATTGGCCAGGCAAGTCATAAATACCAAAATTAAAGCGATGGCAAAAGTCCCAATATCAACTATCCAAATTACACATTTCAGCATCTCTTTCAACTAAAAGCCATTATATTTTACATTCTCTAACTTCCAAAGCACAAAATGTCTTTTATTTACTTAGCATAATTTAGTTCCAACAACTATGTATCCAGATTCATAAACTGCATATGTTCATCAATGAAGTAGTTTATTGTATCTATTTAGTTTTACTTGCAGTTCTATACTTACACATATGTAGAAAAATGGTGAAATACTCTTCATTGAGACAAAGAAAGAATTATTCCAATTTTTTTTTTTTTTTTTCACCACAAGCTTTTGTTTGTATTAGAAATTAGATTGAGCATACCACTCACATTTAGACCCCAATTCGATTCTTGCACCCCTGCATTTTCACACTCACAAAATCCATTCCATTGTTTTTGCAAACAAGTTGCTATGGTTTGGATCGATTAAATTATATGTATGGTTCAAGAGAGGGAAGGGAAAAGGAGTAGGGTATTGAAGAAGGGCTTAAGAAGAGGTGCGGGTGACGAAAAAAGACAAAAGAATCTCAGGGTTGTGGAGTGGTGGTCAATGGCAAACAACAAAGGAAATAAAGGCAGAAAAAAGAAAAGTATAGTATATATTTTAGTAAATTCAATGGGTGAGCTTCACCTTTTATGAATTTCGTCTTTTATTTCAATCATGTTGTCATTAAATATTTTTTCCAATGACTTGTAATTTGTTTTTGTTACCCAAAAAATAACTTAAAAGAGAGGGTGAATTATATTTCTACAAATTAAAATTAATAATATCTCAATAAAATTAACTACTAGTACAACAAATTAGTAAATGATCAAGCAAAATAACAACGAAGTATAACTAACATACATGGTAAATCAAATGATTAACACATGAATATTAAATAACTATAGCAGTAGTAGGAAAGTAAAGAGATTAGGGAAGAGGAGACAAACAGATTTATAGTGGTTCGGGTTCAACCAAGCCTACATCCACTCCTCATGCCTCACTTGAGATTTTTCACTATTTTCTAACTTCACAGGGGTGCTAGCAACCTCTTTACAAATGAAGCAATCCTCCACGGATTTTACATAGACTTCACAAGCCAAAACCCTTGCAAATCTTAGGTGATTCACAATCACTCTCAAGATTTCAAGAATACAGTGTTTGCAACACTTTTACAAGATGAAATGATATTTTTGCTTTCAAATAAAGCTTATAATAAATATTTCTCAAAGATAGATATATAAAATGAAATTTTGATTTTTCTGTAAATCTCAAACAGAAAAAATAAGCTTAATGCTATAAGGCTCAGTGTATAATTTCTGAGAAATGATGTGAGTGATTATATATTAAAGAATATTTTCAAATTTTTTATTGTAACTTGTTTACATTAGAGGTTTTGGTATATATAATGAAAATTATAGTCGTTTATAGCGGTTGTAGTCATTTGATTTTATAGCCGTTTATAGCCATTTGTACTTCCATCATTACCAATTTGAATATCCTCTACTTCATCATTACAAATTTGAATATCTTCCACTTGAACCTTTTGGCCTTTTGAACCTTTATAGCAGTTTATAGCCGTTGTACTTCCATCATTACAAATTTAAACATCTTTCACTTGAACCTTTTGAACCTTTTAGCCTGCTGCTGTGCTAGGCTGTTTGAACCTTTGTTTGGAGCTGTTTGAACTCCTGATTTAATCAAATATTGAATATATTCTAACAACATTTAAGATAAATGTTTATGTGAGAAATAATGAAACAAAATAAATTTTGATTTTATTAAAATATAAAATCATCAAAATAAGTGTTGATTCTATTTTTCTCTTTCAAATAAGTCACTAAAATAAATTTTGATTATATTTTTCTCTTTCAAATAAATCATCAAAATAAATTTTGATTATATTTTTCTCTTCCAAATAAATTAAAATATAATTAAATAAATCATCAAAATAAATAAATCTACCAATTTTCTCTTATAGGTAAATTTATACTGTTGATGCCTTTTGCTCAAGTGAAATTTCAGTTTCAGCTATGTAGGTCTAACTAATCTATTTAATCTTTACATTTTACATTTTATTTTAATATAATCTTTTCATTAGTTGTTAATATTTTAAATAAAATTATATATAAAACTTGAGAGACCAAAATAAAATTTACAAAAAATATAAAGATCACTAATATAATTCAAAAAAAATTTCAATGTTAAAATTCTCACATTAGTTGTACATAATTTTTTTCCATCTAAAATTTTTTTGAACTAGTTTTTCCAACTAAAATGATAACGAGATAAATGACATAAAAATCATATTAAAATCTAATTCGAAGTGTATAAATTATAGGTTATATTTATTTTGAGGTAAAATATTTTTTAAATTGATTTTACACAGAAAAAATATTTTTGTTTTTGTTTTTTTGTGTTTGGTTGAAACTTGAAAGAAAAATATATTATTACTTAAAAAGAAAAATTTTGATTCAATAAAGTATCATTTATGACTTTCAATGAGATAAGATATTTATTTAAAAAGACTAAAGCTATGTTTGGCAATGGATTTTTGACTAAAAAACTCACAAAAGATAAAATTAGCTACATAAGCCAATAAATTACATGTCACATCCAAACTATAATTATTACACTTTTTCTTTCACAAAAGTCAAAAAAACCAAAAATAAAAAACCAAACGAGTCTAAAAAAGTTTGGCTAAAATAGTCAAAAAGTTAGACTATTTTAGCTTTTTCCAAACGAAGACTAACTATGTTGAAAATATAGTGAGTAAAAAACAACTTTATAAAAATTGACTTACCAAATTTTTTAAAATAAATCACTTTTTAAAAATGACACAAAAATATTTTAGTTACCTTTTGTTCAACAAAATAACAAAAAAAGAGTAACTATGGGAGTTTAGAAAGAGAGTTGGGTTAAAATATCCTATTAAAAGAAAAAAAATTTTAAACCGCCAAACCGATTCGCATCCATCCGCCAAACTGCCAATCCGCTCAATCCACATCCGCCGGATTGACAGACGCCGGATTGACAGACGGATGCGGATTGATTTTCTTCAATCCGCCAATCTGACGGACGGATGACGGATTGGAGGTTCCGTGGCCGCAACCGACCCGCGCCCACCACTCGTCCTATACAAAGCAAAATGAAACAAGGATGGGTGTAATTTACCCATTTGTTTTTCCCAGACAACAGTGTTTTGGGTGAGGAAATTTCGCGGGGAAATGGAGTTGCTCAAATTGTCTAAATTCAAGCTTCAGCTTCGAGCCCTAGTCACCGAAGTTCGTGAACTCAGAGTGAGTCTCTCTCTCTCTCTCGCTCTCTCTCTCTCGGTCTCGACGCCTTTTCTTATCTGTCTCCATGGACATTTCAGGAAAGAGAACAATCTTCCACTGAACAACTCAACCTTTTAATTCAGGTTTCGTTTCCAATTTCAATACCTCTTCAGCTACACATTGTTAGACTCTCATATACATGTTGAAATTTATAGCAATGTGTTGATGTTTGAATCTAGAAACAAAAGCAAATAGAGGAGGAATTTGGTAGAAAGCTAACGGAATTGCAAGCGGAATTGGCTTTGTCCAATGAGCTTCGGCAAAAACTCGAAAGAAAGGTCTATAACTCATTGATACAGTGAAATTTGCAATTTGTCTTCGTAGAAAATCTTGTTAAAGATCAAGTATAAGTGAATGTTTGATTGCAGACACTTTCCTGTTTAATTGATTGACTAAGGATTGAGCTTCTCTCAAGTTCAAAATCTGAACTTGACCAGCCTACCACCGTTTTGTTTTGATGATATAAACCGTTTATTTTGTAGTCTTCCATGTATATCATTCATGTAAAAAAAAATAGATTTATCTGATAATTTCATTTTATCACATTTGTTTATGAAAAAATGAACGATACGTATTTTTTTTCCCTCTAAAAAATAGACCATTTTGAAGAAAAACGTGATAACATAAAACTGTTATGATTATTGGATGGACCTAATATTTTCCATGAATGATGTTGATATATACATGGATGATTCTACAAAATACACGGCTTAAATTATTGACACAGGAGCCGTTGTGAGCCCCACGAACCCTAACATGACTGTAAGTTCAGATTTTGAACTTGACAAGATTCCCATCCTTAACTACTACTTAGTTCTTGTTATTTATTCAATTAAATCAATGTAGGTGAGCTACCTTCAGAGTGACAATGCTTTGCTTGAAAACAAGCAAAAAGAGTTGAAGGGAACTATAAATAACTTACTCCAGTCAAGGGAAAGTTTTGTAAAAGTTTACGAGGTTTGTATATGCTAAACTTGTTATAATTTTGATTTGAAAATTTGCGAACCTTAACAGTCTTGTGTTTGAGAAATTGAAATTGAGTGAACCAATTAGACAGTTGAATGCCAAAATCTTAAATTTGTACCTTGCTGAAGAAAAACAAAGTACAATAGTTAAGAAGCTACATCTAAGTATTAATTTAAACTAAACTGGTTGTGTATATATATATAGACATACATATGTGGCTTCATGATTTGAGTCTAACAGTTGAATGGCCTAAATTTGCGTAATTTTATAGGGTCCAAACAACAATAAACGTTCAACTGAGAATTGGGCATTCATATTTTTGAAGACTGCTCTAAGTCTGAAGCTAATATTTTCAGCATTGCTGGTATTTTTTAAAGCTCATTGTATCAGCAGTCAACTGTATTTGGGGTTAGAAGTAAAGTTTTGGTTCCATGCCATGGAATATGTATGACAGCTGGATTTCTGTGATCTGTTTACTTTCTGACTTTGGTTAAGGGTTTTCACATTTCATCTCACTTTTCTTTCTGATGTTAAAGCTGCAAAAATGCTTTGATTAATAAATTATGTGGTAACTATCAATCATCATGCAATATTATTTAAAATTATTGATTCTTATAAAAAAGGATATGAATCTTATGGTGAAGGATTTATCACAATAATTACCATATACAACCATTATACCATAAATTGATGTCATATTGATCTGCAGGACTCTACTTTTGAAATGAAACAATCTATTCAAACCAGCGATAGAAAGGTCACTATCCTTTCTCAGAAGATAAATGCTCATTTATTACTATTTGATTCAATAGAAAAGGAGGCTTTTTCTGTCAAGCAAGTTTTGGACAATGTGCAACATCTTGTGAGTGAAAAAGAGGGAATAGGCATGTAGATCTCTCAACTTACTTACTTCCAAGTGTATGTTCCATTGCTCATAAATTGAATCATTGATCTTCAGTATAAACTATTCAAGTATCTATGAAAAAGGGTGCATGACGTTCCATATTAACTTTGCTTTTATGTTCAGTGGCTGGATTAAAGAGCAAAATGGATAAGCTTTCTTCTTATGAGAAAGTGTTTGTTGGTAATTCCAAATCCTCATTTGCCCAACTTAATTAACTTGCATCTCTAATTGTATTATGCCATAATATATCATGCTCTTAATGATGTTAAGTATTTAAAAATAAATTATCTGGACGTGTAATCATGCTCTTAATGATGTTAAATATGTAAATATAAATCTGGAATTTACAACAATGCTTCTGGATTGTCTTTCTAATCAAATGAGGTTGAGTTTGCAGAACACTGAACTTATGTAAATTTGATGATATTTTGATTCTGTTATTATTTATAAATTTGGGTGATTTGGACTTTAAAACAGTAATGTTATTCTTAAGCTAATTGTTCTTGCCATAGTTTTTAATGCATGTGTGCTTTCATTTTTCTTTAATAAGACTGGAGTCTCAAACTGTTTGATGCAGAAAAAATCTCTGACCTGGAAAGTAAACTGAGAAATGACGAAAATGAGCTCCGAAGAAAGGAGAAAGTAATTTCACAGCTTGAAGCACAGCTGGAAGAAGCAAAAATTAGTAACTTCCAACCACAGATGGAAGAGATATCCATATAACCATTGATTAACATCCATATTTTTCATTGACTCTGATTAAGGAATTGAATTTCAGCTGTGGATATTTCTTGTCAGTGTAAAACCTTAACTAGCCTTACTTTCAGAAAACACTATCAACAAAGGATGTGATCATACAGAATTTACTGACAGAGAAAAAGGTCTGAATTTGAGATTCTGTACTTTCATTTTCCAAAATGAAAAAAAAAATACTTTAGCTTACTTTTTTGTAGTTAGTCTTTATTAATTTCTGACTTCCTTGGAAACATCAAACGGTCAGGCATTGCAATTGGAATTGCGGAGTCTCGGAATTATCTTACAGAAGATTCAGGACACTGTCACAAATATGAATGAGGAGGTAAGGGGGGTATTTCTTTGAATAAACTAGGGTAAAATTCTAGCCATTGTGGTTTTAGTCCACTTACCAGGATTAACATATGGTGCACGTATGGTGGATGTGAGGACATCTGCCGTTTGCATGCTCATGTTGGGGCATGTGAAGGGAAAATGAACCTACTATGAATGGTTCGTCCAAGATGCTGTATGGAATTGTACTAGGTATTCTATTTTGACCATTTTATAAATAAAAGTGTCAGCCTGTGGCAATAGAAAGTCTGTTTCCTGTCACCCACCTGAATGCCACAGATAAAATGTCCAATTTGATCAATTTACAAACTTATCCTTTTGTTCACCTCTTAAATTTGTATATTTTGTACCTTGGTATGCCTATGGCAGCCTATAATTTGGGGTCTCATGATGTTTCTCCCAAAGGAATCTTAACATTCCTCAACTCTATCTTTATGGTAGTTGGAAGCAGCTTTTGTTTGTCATTGATTTGCCAGTCTCGTAATATCATTGATCCCTACTCCAGGATAGAAGAGCATTCTCCTCTGTTCTGGGAGGCCAAAAAGAATGTACAGAAATTAAAGAAAAGGAAAATATCAGGTCAGATAAATGAATTTTGTCATCAACTTCTGTTTACAAGTTGAATACTGACTTTAAAATTAGCATGTATTTTAACTTGTTTAATTTAACTGAGCACAGAGTGATGAAAAATGATGCATGTGGCTGACTCCACTTGATTGGGACACAAAGCTTAGTTTGGTATGGTTTAAGTAAAGGTGAATAGAGTTAGAGGCCGTCTTTTTGTGGTTGGTATAATAATGTTACAGTGTAGAGAAAAAGAAGAATGGAAAAGAAATAGGTTACTCTGGCCTTGCTGTCATGTATACGAAGCAATGTGCAACATTCAAATGTTATATATATATATATATATATACGGCTTATATTGAACAAATCTTTGACACATGCATGCCCAACTGCAACTAAATGGATAAGGTTCTTACGAGATTGCAAACCAATTCAAACATCATAAACAATGGATTATAACCAGATATTTACTATATCTGTGCATGCTTGTTTGTTATTTTCAGTTTCCATGATTTAGTTACTGTAATGGAAGGATAGTTTTGTTCTTGGAGATCCAGAAGATATGGGGTTAGGGAATAGAATTCCACTTTTATGACTTCCTATTCTTATTGCTCTTGTAGATGCCAAACATTGTGATACGGTGATGAATTCTTCTTATTTTTTCTCAGACGGTATTTTTCTTCTTATTACCATTTGCGCTGTTACTGGTATATCATATCAGGATTGAAGATGCATATCAAAACACTGGAGAAAATTCTCCAAGTAAGGCTGGTGAGGGAGGCAGTGAAGAAAATACAGGTTCACTCTAAAAACAGCTTCAAGTCATGTTGCTATTGAACTGTATGACCTAAGGTTGCAACTTTAAAACTCTCAATATGATATTCAACATGTGTAAAGAAACCTAAACTTGTTGAGGCATAATAATGGGTGGACTGCTGCCAAGGTTTTGGCTTTTAGATATTCTATGAGCTAAGAGCAATTGGGACTAGCATTAGCATTAGCATTAGCATTAATAATTAGAAAACAAAACTTAGTTTTTTTCTGTGTTGTTGTTCACAGTGTAGAGAACCGCAGAACAGATATTTGACTAATGAGCTATTTTGATCTGCATAGAATGCAGCTACTGTAGATTTTGGTGCTTTAGATGATATATCAAGTGTTCGGGTTTATGGAGCCTAATAGTACTAGACACTGGGCCCTTGATCGAGTTGATCCAATGGGGGGTTCGGGGGCCTCCCCCCTGAGCGTTGGGTCTGTGAGTATTAAGGGTAGCTTGGTAATTGTCAATGTAACCCTAGCGCTATATATTGCTGCTTTCTGTAGCAACCACATTGTTACTCTCTTTTCATTCCCTCTGATATAGTGAAACTGGTGTGAGGCTTGGATGTTGGCAATCTTGCCGAACCACATAAATCTCTGTCGTTTCTTGTGTGTGATTGTTTGCTTTCTTCTTGCTATTGTTTGTATTTGGGTTATTTCACAACATAAAGCACAGAACCCTTAGATTCATATCAAGACCTGTGTGAAAACTTACTCAACAAAATTCAGATTGGCAGTTCCTTGTTTCTGTTAGTTCTCAATGGAGCACTATGGTTTTATTTCAGCAAGAGTCTCCATGTTTAATTTTTTTTCCTTAGGTTGTTGGGTAATTTTTTTTCCTGAACCCAACCCATAAGTTATGGGTTCCCATTCCACACATAACCCCCTGGGCCCCTAGCAGGCTCAAACCCAGTCTTCCCTCACATAGACATGCAGAAGATATCAATAGGCTAACTAACCAGGGGTGGATAGAGAGACTTCAATTCTGACAAATCGTTGAGATCAGGTAATTTGGTCGTATAAATTTCTTTGCTGTGGAACTAAAAGTCGGTTTTTGTAGGGGTATTTAACAAAGAGTGAGAATCCATTCTTCTGATTCCTTTTGGAGCTTGTCACCCTCCGGGTCATTTTGACAGTTCTCTGCTTATCCATCCTGTTTTCTTGAGGTGGAAATTCATCCTCCAGAATAGAAATGAAATGTGACCTCAGGAAATTCTAGAAATTAAACCTATTATGAAATGAAACACTAATTTAAATGAAGCAAGCCTACAATTTTTGACATAGTCTCTCAGTTCAAAAATGCTATTCGAAGCAGATATGATTGACTAAAATTTCAAGGTTCATCCATATGCATCTTAGTTGGTCACTTTTCTTCAAGATAGCTAGTTAAAATTGGTGACATGTATCTCAGGTTTCAACATGGGATGCCACTTCTGGCACAATTTCAATTTTTTTCTCTGATTTTTGTTTTTCATTCAATGCAGCTTCTGTGTACAAGGAGCATGATTCAGTAAACAAACGCTTGCAAGGGAACAATAATATGGAATGCTGTATCTCAGAGGCAAGTGGATTCTTTTCCTGTTTCTAATTGGGAATTTTTTATTTTTATTTTTATTTTTTTGGTCCTTGCTCATTATATGGTGTTGTTGCTGGACAAACATATTTCTGCATTGATGCAATGGCAGTTTTCTTGTTCTTCCCCACAGCCAACTTACTCGGAACCTCAGTCTACTCCCAATGTCGTAAGCATTGCAGTAACTGAAGCAAAGGTATATTTTAGTTTTGGACTTTTCTTGTACTTGACATTTGGAGACTTTATAAGCAATTTCATCTTGTTGCTTTAATTGATAGATTAATTTGGGTTCAGACCTACTTAAACAATTTTAATCTGCTTAAAGAAAAGAAAAAAGGGGTTATTTGACCCAAATTCTTTATCATTTTGGCTACCTACTTACTGTCTTTTTATATTGTTCTTAATTGAATAGGACAACTGCACAACATTAGTTTACCATCAAAATTTTGAAAGCTCAACAACCCAAGCAGAAACCTCTAACGATCCAGGTTAAGCATTTAGTTTCCATATTGTACTTCTATGCTGAATATTTGTGGATACATTTTGTATTAGTTACTAGAACATATTCCCACTTGACCATGGCTGCACAAGTATGATGACAAACCAATGAATCATTCTGCACCATGATGCTTGAAAACCCACTCACTTCTTTCCGTGCTTTTAAAACCATTTTCACGTGCATCCGAGCCTTCTGTTTATTTTCCCTTTGTACTCAAATTAAGCTCATTGATTTTTGGGATATCGTTTTGGAAAAGAAAAAGTTACTTTGCATCAGTTGTCAAATTCAAATACTGATTTTGAATATTCTTTTGATCAGTTTCTCGGATAAGAGGATGTGCCACAGTTTTTTGAGGATCCAGAAAGTCCTGTTATGGGCATATCCAATAAGAGCAATGCTAGGAACCCCAAGAAAACTACTAAATTTTTTACCAAACACACACTACCAAATTTTTTACTAAACACTCGCATGTGAGTGTTTGGTAAAAAATTCATGCGATTGTTTAGTAAAAACTTTGGTAGTTTTGTTGGGATCTAGCATTTTTCATCCAATAACGACATACCATCCATGTGAATTGGGTTAGACAAACCAAAATTCGGCATTTTTGGGGACATGAAGGCAATTTTTTTTTGTTCATTATGCTTTGATAACTTGCAATAGTTGTAACAACAGCTTTGTTTGGCCCCTCTCTCTCAAGCTCGTCACGCTAGCCTCAACCTTTCTCGTGACATTTTATTATTATTTTTGAAAGAATATGAGAAAGAGAATCTGCAGTGTAACAGTAAAACTCGAATTCAAGCATGATGACTAGCAAGGGAATACCTTTTTACAAGGCTAACCCTTCGGTCATTTTCTCATGACAAATTTGACTTGGCATTTGTTTTTGGTGGTGATCAGGAAATTTCCATATGGCATATTAAAACATAGTCAAGTCAAATAGATAAACACAAATTTCATGTGCTATAATATCGAGCCCAGAATCGACCTGGTTGGATTTGGTAAGAAGCAAGAGAGTCATTCAAAAATGACAAAAACAAATGTGGTGAAACTGACAAGTTTTTGGTGAGCTCATGTTTGGATGTTTCCAGGCAATGGAATAACATCATTGAGGCAAAAATCATTGTAAAATGTTGCCATCACGGGAAGTTATAATTTTTTGGAACATTGATTACAACGAGTTAGGTCAATTTTTTATGCCTTTGTGTGTGCTTGCACAACTGTGAAATGAATTAAATTAGTCGAGCTTGATCCATGTCTGATAAGCTTATATGTATTATAAAAATTAAATTACTTGAACTTGACTTGTTTTAAACTTGTTAAAATTTATTTGAAATTGACTTATTAAATAGTCAACACAAATTTAAATGTATTTAAAAATTCATTAAAATTTTAAATTACTTTATTGGCTTGTTTACCACTAGTTGTGCCTGACAGCTCAATTTTTGTGGGGTTGGCAATTTTGCTATGGCATTCTTAGGATTGTTTTGAAAAATTGATTAAAAGTTAATTTTTTCGGACGGTTTTTTTTTTTTAAATATGTGAAAAAAAATAAAGAGATGATATGATTCAGGGTTCGTTTGGCAAGAAGAGTTTGGGGTTTTTTTTGGCTATTTTAGCCGCAAAAGACAAAATAGACTATTTTAGTCACAAAAAACAAAACATCACATCCAACTCATAATCATTAAACTCTTCTCTTACAAAAAAAGTCAAAAAGTCAAAAAGTTCTTCCCAAACTAAGCTTTTTAGCTCAGGTTAAAATAGTTAAAAAAGTCAAAAAATTAAAAAGTCAACCCATTTTCTAAACGGAGGCTCAAATAAGTTAAAAGTTAAAAATTAACTTTTAATTATGTTCCCAACCTTAAACAGTAGTGCCAAAGGAAATCATTTTATATATTATTTTGACAAAGCCCTCATCTCTGCCTCGTAACTTTCCAATTATTATTTTTTTAGAACAAACTTGACAGTGATTGATAAACTGCTTTTCCAACAACAATCTGCTAAATAAGGGCTGGTTCATGTGCTCTCGTACATATATGCAACACCAACTTCTGCAGACTAATAAAAAAAAAAGGTTAAATTACCCCATTAGTTTTGTAATTTAATTGTCGTGTGATTTTAGTCTCCGTAACTTTAATTTGAGCAATTTAAAACTTATGTTTTCAGTTTGATTACAATGTACTCTCTATGTTACAATGAGAAAAAATTGCGCAAAATAACAGTGATCAAAATGAATTCCAAAAGAAATTATAAGAACCACTAGTGTTATTAATAAATGACATTAGTGCTTTATATATATATATATATATATTAATTTCATTTGGGTTTTCTCTAATTTTATTTTTGCCGTTTAAAATTTAACAATAAATTATAGAAGAACTATATTATAACAAAATCAAAAGTATATAATTTGGTTGTTTAAAATAAAACTACGATAATCAAAATAAAACTTATTAAAGAGTTCGATAGTGTAATTTAACTAAAGAAAATTATTAAGAATTATAATTTTGAAAATTATATTTGAGTATCATGAGTGTTGTTTTACATAACACTGATTAGATAATCTGACAAGTTATTTGGACGTGTGTAAAATAGAAAAATGCTTGGGAGCACTAATTAGTGCTCTCACTAATTAGGTGGCAGTGGGTCCCGCCATGAATGATGTGATGTTTTAGTCTTGGAGTTGTAATTTTTTTTTATTTTTTTATTTTTTTAATGCATTAGTGCTATTAGTGGTGATATTTTTAGTGAGATGAATCATTGTTGGTGTAAAATATCATGCGAGATAGAATTACGGACTTAGATATAAAAATTTAGAAATTATCTAAAACTATACATCAATAATTCATATTTATTTCATATATAAATTATACACTTCATTAATTCAAGGAGAATTTACCAATAAATCTTATATACAAAGTTCAAGACTTATCTAATCTTCAAACAAAATACTTGCACCAATTAGTCTTATACATTTTTAATTGTTACCAAAAATTTTTTTTTTTTTAAAAAAAAATTTACAGATACTGTTATATCTTACTGTCGTCGGATTTCCGTCAAACGGTCACTGGAGACTCGTCGGAATGTTCAACATCACCGGAAAGTCGTCGGAGTATTGCTGGAAAGTCGCCGGAGTATCGCCGGAAGTTCACTGGAGTGTTAAGAACATTAATGGAAGTCGCCGAAATGTTCAGAACGTTCATTGGACGTTAAGAACATCATTGGAGACTCATCAAAATGTCTAGAATATTACCGGGAAAAAAGAGAGGAATAAATGAAGAAATTAGAGCAAAAAAAAAACATAGCAAAATGTGTTAAATATTGATAAACTAAAAGAAAAAAAAAATGAAACGACAAAAAGCAGCAACAATGGGAAAAATATATGCTATTTTTGCTATTTTTTAATTTTTGTAACGTTTAAGCAAATAATCTCCAATGTTGATCAAACTGAAAAGTAAGTTTTGAAACTGTAGCATTCTATTAAGCATTTATTCTTATTAATCAAACTGAAAAACATGTTATGAAACTGTAAAATTTTACAGTTCTAAAGAATGTTATGAAACTGCAAAATTTTACAGTTTGATACCATGATTCATTCATGCACCAAAAAAATTTTAAATTGCGGAATTTTACAGTTTTAAACCATGATTCATTCTAGCACAAAAAAAAAATTAAAATTACAAAATTTTACAATTTTCACCGCCTGTAACTAAAACTCGAAAACTACTTGTTCAAAATTTGAAAATTTTCTCCATTAAAACAGAAAAAGAGAAGTGTATAACAGAGAAAATGTAGAAAAAAATAAGAGATCGAAGGAGAGAGGCGGATATAGAGAAAGAATTGTACTCCAACAACTATTTTTTGTTTAGATCTAGCCAAATTTGATGTACATCTACTCAGTTCTGATGTATTACATCAGATCTAAGTAGATCTACTCATCTTCTTCGTCGGAAATATATCTTCTTCGCCGTCGGTGAGGGTGAAGTCAACGAGTTGATTTCGATGGTTGGTGGTTACTGGTGAACCCTGATCAATGGAGAAAGACGTGATCACCGGTCATCGTCCATGATAAAGAAGATGAGAGAAAAATACGGAAAAAAAGAGAGAGGAAAACGTAAAGAGTGAGGCAAAAAGCACAGAGAGAGAGAGAGGATCTAGCCAAATTTGATGTACATCTACTCAGTTCTGATGTATTACATCAGATCTAAGTAGATCTACTCATCTTCTTCGTCGGAAATATATCTTCTTCGCCGTCGGTGAGGGTGAAGTCAACGAGTTGATTTCGATGGTTGGTGGTTACTGGTGAACCCTGATCAATGGAGAAAGACGTGATCACCGGTCATCGTCCATGATAAAGAAGATGAGAGAAAAATACAGAAAAAAAGAGAGAGGAAAACGTAAAGAGTGAGGCAAAAAGCAGAGAGAGAGAGAGAGAGAGAGGGAAAGTAGGACTTTTGGGTCTACTCAAAAAGTTATTGGATTAAATGGTGTCCATATATTTCAAATAGGACATGTGGGTAATTTCCCCTTAATTGAATCTCTATTACACATACCTATTTTTGGATAAATTTTGGGACCCTAGCTTTTTTTATTATTATTGAAATGTGGTTCTTAACTACAGGGTAATTAAGGTTGCAAACAAGCTGAGTCGAGTTGAGTTTTAGTATGTTTGGCTTTATTTATTAAGATTTTAACGAGTTCAAGCTTAATAAAAATTTAATGAACTGAGTTCAAGTCAAGATGGCTTAAGTTTGGTTCGAGCTCGAACCTATTCACAAGCCTTAATGAGTCCAAAAAAATACAAATTCATACTTTCATATGAGATTAAAGTTATAATTGAAACTTTGATTACACAAATATATATAGTATATATATATAAATGTACTAAAAAAAATTAATATCTTACTAAATAATAAAATCTACCACTATTATTATATAAATGTATTATCTATAGTTATTATTTACATATAAATAAATTTAACTATTATTTATATTTACATTATTTAAATTTATAAATAACATATTTATTCTATTGTTTATGCATATTTTTACATTATTTAATACATGAATAATGTATTTATTTTATTATTTAAATAAATATTAAATGAGTCTAACTAACGAGTTAAGTTTTAGTATATTTATTATAATTTTAATGAGTTTGAACTCGAACACAATAAAAATTTAACGAATTGTTCGAATGAATCTTTACAGAACTGAGTTTGAGTCTATTCACGAACGACTCTATTCATTTGCAGTCCTAAAAATAACACTGCAGTACACACCCACTATAGTGCACACCTCTTCAAATGGTGTATATCATATGCACATGTTATGTATTTTTATGATAAATATTATGTTTTTTTTATTTTTATTTTTTTTAGGAGTTGCAATAATTTATGGTTCAAAAATAAAGTTACCCATTTTGAAGTAATGTTACGTATTTTTGTAATAATGTCGTACATTTTTATCCAAATATTTTCCAATTAAAGAATATGTAATAATACCACAAAATACGTAATATTATCACAAAAATGCATAATCTCATTTTTCAACTAAAAATTATCGTAACTCCTATCAAAAAAATATATAATATTTATCAAAAAATACATAACACCAAAACAAAGAACATATAATACACAATCATAAAATTTTCCCTCAAATACATTCTTGTCCGGTAAATGGCACTTCTTGTGGAGACCACATGCAATTCCATTTACCATTATTTGGAGAATTAATTTTTTAAATAATTTTTTTAAAAAGGCATACCAAAAAAATTGAGAGAAAAAATAATTTTTTTGTAATAATTTTTTAAATTTATAATTAAAATAGTTTGTTACCAAATAGGCCTTAGTTTGAAATACTGCTACAGAAATAATTTTCTTTTGAATAAATTGATGTGATATGCATTAATAAAATTTTATTATGTAAAATGAGACTCGATAAATTAAGTTTTAAAAAATCTTGCAATTCTTGCATTTTTGTTTTTGTTTTTGTTTTTGTTTTTATTTTTGTTTTTTGTTTTTTTTTTTTTTGTAGGAATATATTGATAAAACCAAAATTTAAATGAAAAAAAGGGCAGAGGATCAACTAACCAAAAAGGGGGTAATTTTTACTTATTTATGAAGTTGTTGGCACCATAAATAAATAATTTTATTATTAGTTATTATCTATATAATTACAAGACATGTGGCACTCTTCTATTCATTTGGAGGTTATGAGAAAATATGAATCATTAAACACATGTGAAAGGATGATGAACGACAAAGTGGAGAACA